GTGGCAGACACGCTTTGGGCCGGGGCCCTTGATGAGACCGACGCCGTCTCATGCTCATGGGGGGGGGTCTCCTCTGCCCGCCCGCCAGGAGCACCGGGGAGGCCCGCAGGTCAGGAACCCCCCCAGCCCCCCGCAGGCTTCTCTCCTTAAAACAGCCCAGAACGCTAGGAAGATTCCAGAAGCAGAGCGGGATGGCGCAGCCACGTCTTGCCCCACCTGCCCTCTCTTGCCTTGAGCTTCAACTTTTGTTTGGGTTTTTCTCTGCTGGACTAGGGGGAGGGGGCCAAGGAAGCAAGGCGCGCCTTCCCGGGGGCCACCGTGGCCCCCCTGAAGTCTCAGTCCGCTGTCCCCGAGCGGAGGTGAACGCCAGCTGGGGCTCGGACTCCCCTGCGCGTCCACGGGAGGGGCATGCCCAGGTCCAGCCCTGCCGGCCGCCGCCATGCCGGGCGCAGGCCAGAGGCCCACAGAGGCCGCCACAGACCACACGGCAGCGCCCTCTCCGCTCACGCGGCCGCCGCTGGGGGAGGACGCGTGTCCAGGAGCCGCAGAGCGTCTCGTCGGGAACACGGCACGGGGGGCGGGAAGGCCGGGTGTGACCCAAACTCTCCGTCCCCAACGGCACCTGGAGCGAGTCCCCTCGGCTTCGGGGCTCGGTTTCTGCCCCTCGACTTCGGCAGTGACCGGCTGACCCGGGGGGGCAGCTGCGGGATTAACGGGGCCGGCACAGAGAGGGACCCCCACGCCCAGCAGGCAGCGTGCCCCGAATCCTTGGCCTGTGCCTGGACCGGGGCCCCCGGTGTCCGCGTGGCGGCGGGCAGGAGGGGGCAGCAGAGGCCTGGCCGGGCCGCGCCTGCCTGTCTCCCAGGAGCCCGGCGGAGGAGGAAGCGCAGCCTCGGCCACGGCCACCGGCCACCGCAGGCCCAGAGCACTGGGAGGACTGCCCGGTCCGGAGCCCCAGAAGCCCCGGGGGCCCCAGCGCTGCTGCCCCAATCTGTGGCTTGAGCAGACCCCCCCGAGTGTTGCAGACGGGGGCGGGAGGACGCTGAGGCCCCCTCAGAAGTGAAGCTGGGGGGGATGCGAGGACTCAGAGACAGTGGGGAGCAGAGCAGGCGGGTCCCCCGAGACACACGGCTGAGGCCTACGAGTTCTCCTATGTAAAAACAAAAAGGAATTGAAGTTTCGAAACAGTGAAGCCGCTGGACTGGAGACCCCTCTAGCTGGCGGCTGGGGGCGGGCCCCGGGGCCAGGCACTGGCCGTGGAGAGCCCAGCTTCTCTCCGCAAGGGAGGGCGGGTCGGGGGCTGTGCTGGGAGCCGGGGGCTCAGCGCTGCCCACACTGAGCAGTCACACGGGGCCTCGAAAATTTAGATCCTTCGCCTCTGAGGGCGCCACCCCCACCTCCCCACGCGGACGCGCAAGCGGCAGCAGAGCCCCAGGCCCGCGGGGAGGCGGTGGGACGCGCGTGGGTCCCGTGGTCACTCCAGCCTCGGTGCGCAGGGTCAGGCGGGCCTCGTGCTCCTGCCCGGCATGCCGCTGGCCGCAGCCCCCACAGCCCCCAGGACGGTGTCGTTGAAGACGAGAGGCGGAGGCGCAGAGGTGCCCTGCCTGCCCGCGCCGGCTGGTGGAAGCTGCCCGCCAGTTGGCGGATGGCAGGTGGGGCTTGTGTGTGTGCACCCCGCCCGTCCCTCCAGCCCCAAAAAGAAAAGAGGACAGTGGGCCGAGGGCTCCTGGGTGGGCCAGGGCCCCTCCAAAGCCTGGCGCTGGGGTTCAGGCAGGGCCCTGGGAGGGCGCTCGGGCCTGCCAGCCTGGAGCTGGGGAACCCGGGGCAGTGGAGAGCCGCCTCTGCCGGAGGGGCTGGGGGCTGCAAAGACCCGGGACGGGGGACTCCATCGAAACCCAGGGACTGTGGCTCTGCCCCTCCCAGCCGTGGGCCTTTCACGCAGGGGCTGTGCGCCTCTAGGGCATCTGAGCGCCCTCCCAGTCAGGTGTGCCGCCCGGCCGGCCGCAGACTGACTTCCCTGAAGGCTGAGCTGGAACGAGAAAGATGTCCGTAGAGCTCCCAGCTCGGTGCCAGCTCAAACTCCTAACCCGCCCTCGCTGGCACGGTTCTGCGGAGGACGCTGGGGTGGGATGCGCCCTGTGGCCCAGCGGGAGCCGGGCGGAAATGCCCCAGAGAAGACCCGGCCCAGGCAGCCAGGTCTCAGCCCCGGGGCAGGGAGGCGAGCGAGCGACTTGCCTGCGTCCTCTGCCCTTCCCAGGCTAGCCTGGCCCTGGGCTCTCGGAAGAGTGCGCTTTTCTTGGGTCCCCAGGCCCTAGGGCAGGTCTGGAGATGAGGCCAGGCCCGCCGGTGCCCTGGCAGCTTCCCGCACAGGCTCCTCTGGGTGCCTCCCACAGAGGCCGGCCAGGGCCTGGCACAGGAGACCCGGCTGAAGCGCAGGCGCCATTGGGGAGCTGAGCAGGAAGCCGGGGTACACGGCCGCCTGCTGCCCTGGCCCCCCCCCACCCCCTGGCGCCAAAGCCTCACGCTCAGGGCACACGGGGCCTCTGGGCGCCAGGGGGCAAGGGAGCGGGCGTGGGGGCTGCGCCGCTGTAGCAGGAGGCCGGGGCCGCCGGCTGGGCCGGCATTGGGTTTCTCCTAATCAGCCTCGCTTCCCCAGCCTCCGACCTAATTGGGGCACAGTCTCAGAGGGGGCGGGGGGCGGAGGCCGCGCTTCCCCGCGCTGGCTGTCGGGGGTGAGCGGTCTCCCCTCCGGCTCCGCGGGCAGCAGCCCCCCGCTGTGTGGGCAGGACCCAGCCTTCTCCGCGCTGAGGGCTGCTCCTGGAGCACGGCGCCCCCGAGCCCCCAGCCCCGTGCTCCGTGGCCCAGACCCCGCGGGGCAGCGTCGCTGGCCTCTTCCTGTCCCCTTTATCTCGCTTTTATAGACAGCTGTTAGTTCGGGGCATTAATTGCCCGGGCGAGTTTATTGATAATTTTGATGTAACAGAGCACCGGAGAAATTACCCTCACGTCCAAAATGTCAAATTTGAGAAGAACCAGGTTCAGAGGCTCACGACCCCGCGACGGGACTGCGGTGGGTCTCCCGGAGGGTCTCCTGGAGGGCGCGGAGACAAAGTGACCTTGTTTGTTTGTTTTCCTGGGGAGCGGGGAGCGCGGAGAGGGGCCGGGACAGGCGGCTAAGCCCGAGCCCGTCCCCCGCCGACCTGGGTGTGCCCAGGGGGAAGCGCCGACCAGCACTCCCGGCCGGCCTCCCCGCTCGCTCGGAGGGCGCCCACCTGGGCTTCGGGGAAAACCAGAGAGCGGACGCCGGGAAGACGAAACCCCGAAACCCCGCAGAAACCCTCCCCGCGTCGCACGACTCGCGGCAGCGCAGAGACGGAAACGCCCCGAGGAACTCAGGGGCCCTGCTGTGGCGAGACATTTAAAAATCGAATTTTCGTAGGAAACTGGCCGTGCCCGGTTTTCCCTCGGGAAGGCCGGTCCTGCTTTTCCTTGAACTGCTTGGTTATTTCCTGAGAGAGAGGAGCGGCATCGAGAGGGCAGGGCCCGCTTGAAAAATGGAAGCCAAGAGCACACGGCCACGCTCGCCCGACGCCGCCCGCCCGTCGGGGCAGAGGGAGAAGAGGCCCGGCCGGCGGGGAGGAGGGACGGGACGCGGGAACATGGCCTGGGGCCACCCGGGCCTCAAGCCGCGCGTGAGACCCTCCCAGCGGCCTCGTGCCTGCGTGCGGGCTTGGGGGGCGGTTCTGCCACCTCAACCCCGATTCTGCCACCTCAGCCCCGGGCACACGCTGGAGGGGCGCTCGTTGTAGCGGATGCGACGTTGAGGCCACGTACAAATGTTATACATTTTTATTTTTGTTTTTTTTTTTTAGGAAAAATTACACAAAAGGCAAAAACATCCTCAAATTGTCGTTTTATACAGTGCAGAAGGAAATTCAAAATACGTGTCACAAACGCTGCGCCCCGGCAGCCAAAATACTACGGGGGTGGGGGGCCGGTCCCTCATTTTATATAGATATTTATATAAAACATACGGAAATTTGTTTTGACACAGATCGGACTTCGTTCCAATTCACAACGGACAGCTACAGAAATTCTCCGCGGCAAATATTGCCAACCAAGTCACGCCATTACTACTGACAGACGGAGGAGCCGCTGCGGCGTCGTCGCGATCACCGGGGAAGAAGTAGAATAAATAACAGGATGAACCTTGCTATAGAGTTTTACAAAGTGCCTTAACCTTCCCGCGTCTCCGCGGTCCGAAGCCCGATCCCGGGGCCCCGCGGCGGCGGGTCTCCTCCTTCCCGGCCCGGGGTGTACAGCAGAGACGGGGGAGACGCCGGCTCCCGTGAGAAAACGGCCGCCGGAGAATCCAGGCGACACTCGGAGCAGAGCTAGAAAGACGCCGCGGAGGCGCGGGCCGGGCCGGGGGAGCCCCAGCCCCTCCGGGTCTCCCACCCCGCCGAGCAGAGCGGTCTGGGCCCCGGGGCCGCCCCGGGCCAGGCCGCCTCAGGTGGGCCCGGGCGCCCCCGCGGACCCCTCCCGCGCCCGCCGAGGAGCCGCCGCCCCAGGCGATCTTTCCGAGAAGATTAAACATAAGATAAATACTCGCTGGAGAGTGAAAGGGTCTGACAAGCGGCCTCGGGAGCTCGCCCTCGGGCAGCAACCGCTCCCGTGGCGCCAGGGCGGGGAGCAGGACCGCAGCAGAGCTCTCCTTCGGACTCGGAGGGCCCCCCCAGCGCAGCACCTTCGCGGCCGCCCCCGGGGTGCAGGCAGCCGGGCCCCTCCGGCCGCGGTTTTAGACCTCGGGAGGGAGGTTCGGGGGAGGCGCCGCCGCCCGGTCTTGCCCGGTCTTGGCCGCCTTGGCCGCGGGGTTCCTTCTCCAATAATCCGGTCGGGGTGGGGTCAGACCCGGCTCTTCTGCCGACGGTTATACCTCGAGAATAAAGCAGTTCCCGGCGGGGCGGCGGCCCGGCCGGCGCGCCGGAGCCCCCGGCCGCCTCACATCACGCAGGGCTTGATGTCTTGGTAGGTGACCTGCTGGTGGTAGTAGGCGCCGCCGCCGGCCGAGTGCATGGACGAGGACGCCATGGTGTTGAAGGAGAAGACGAACTCCTTGCGGTCACACATGCTGGGCGACTGGGAGTGGTACCGCGGGACGCCTGCAAGGCGAGGCCACAGGGGAGGGAGCGAGAGTTAGGCGGCGCGGGGGTCGAGGCGGAAAAGCAGCGCCGACTGCGGACTCGGGGCGCCTGCCCGGCTCCGGCAAAAGGCCCCCGCCTCCCGTGCCCTCCTGCCGGGACGCCCCGCGCGCACAGCCCCAGCGGCTCTGAAGGCCCAGGGGCGCCGTGTGTGCCCCTGGGGGGAGGGAGGAAGCGAGGGAGGGAGGGAGGGGAGACCCCCGCGCCCGGGATCCCGGCCTGTCCGGGCCTCCTCTGGGAGGATGGGGCCTCTCTCCGGCCGGCCTGGGGGTGCAGGGGCTTCCGAGGCTGAAGGGGACGGAATGAGAAGCGCGGAGACCGGCCAGAAGACGCCAGGGAGGCCCCAGCGGCCTCTACCACCTGGGCAGCCCGAGGCCTGAGCCTGGCGCAGGGGCGGCCTCCTCCCAGCCCCAAGACAGCCCAGCCCGGGTGCAGCGACAGCCCGATGGGGGAGCTGGGAAGAGCAGGGCCGCGGCGGAAGGAAGCATCTCTGGGAGGACGGAGCCCCCCCAGGGCAGCTGGAGCCTGGGAGTTTGAAGCCGCCTAGGCAGGGCGACCCGTGGAGCCCGTCAAGCCGTCAGGCTGGACTCCTGTCCCCTGCAGGCTGCTGACAGCTGACCCCAGCGGCCCCTGCCTGAGTCCCCCCAAGCTCTTTCCAGAACTAGGCCCACAAGCCTGCTGGAGGCCGCCACATGGGGCACTTGGGGAGGGGAGGCTCCGCTTCTTCCTTCTCAGAGGGCAGGGACAGCGGGCAGCTGGAGACCCGAACACCAGGACGGAGAAACAAAGGGCCTCTGGGGCCTGCAACTCTGCGCCTGGCTCCGGGCCTGGCCACAGCGGGCCTCGGTCACCACAAAATGCCCCCGCTCAGCCCTCCCTGGGTCCGGCTGGCTCCCTGAAAGGCCCGAGGGCTGAGCTCAGAGTGGCCGCCCAAGCGGCCTGGGGCCTAGTGCTTCCGTCCTGCCCGGGCAGGGAGCAGGCGGCTCTCCAGACGCCCACTGGGCAGCCCCGGGGAGGGTGTCCCCGCCGGCCAGGCTGGGGGTTCGGCTCCATCCCCAGCCTTGCTGAGGCGTGAGGACTGTAATGGGCCGAGGTGACTTAGACTATCGGGGCCTGAGCCGCTCCGGGGAGGACGAGCCCACCTGGGCAGGCTTGGAGGCCAGTGTCCAGGAACTGAAACCAAAATAGAGAAACAGGGCGTCCGGGCCTAGGCCGGCCGAGGGCTGCGCTCACTCCTCTGAAGGGGCGAGGGAGGGCCAGAGGGACACCCCGGAGCCAGGGGCGCACAGAGGCGCTGCCCGGGGGCTGGGTCGGCAGCGCTGTCCGGCAACCCCGGGGCCGGGGCCGGGGCCGCGCGCGCCCCACTCACCTTGCAGCTCGGCGGGCGCGTTGTGGCTGTTCTGGTGCAGGTAGGGCTGGTCCAGGGAGTGCGTGGAGAGGCTGCCGGGCAGGGGGTTGGCCGCGGGGTTGCAGGGGGACAGGGGCTGCTGCTTGATGTAGGAGGCGCCGCTGTTGAGCGCGGCCGAGGCCGCGGGCGGCCAGGCGGCGGCGGCCGGGCCCGAGTACACGGCGTGCGGCTCCATGACGCCGCCGGCGGCCGCGGGCAGCAGCGGCGAGCCGGGCACCGAGCCGTCGTGGTGCGCGTACTCGCCGGCCGCCGCGCCCGCGCAGCCGCCCATGTACGCGTGGCCGCCGCCGCCGGCGGGCAGGTGGGGCACCGCGTGGCCGTGGCCGGGCAGCGCCACGCCGTCCACGCCGCCCGGCAAGTGGCCGTTCATGACGCCCAGGCCGCCGTCCAGCGCCAGCCCGCCGGGCGCGCACGGGAGGCCGCCGGCCGCGCCCTGGAAGCCGTAGGCGTCGGGGGGCAGCGCGTTGAAGCCCAGCCCGCCCACCACGCCGTACACGGGCTTGAGCGCCTGGCACTTCCTCCTGAAGCCGCGCGGCCGGCGGCGGAACGAGCCCTCCTCGAACATGAACTCGCTGGCCGGGTCGATGGTCCAGTAGTGGCCCTTGCCGGGCCGGCCGAGCCCCTTGGGCAGCTTGATGAAGCACTCGTTGAGCGAGAGGTTGTGGCGCACCGAGTTCTTCCAGCCCTGGTAGGCGCCGCGGAAGAACGGGAAGCGGCTCTGCAGGAACTGGTAGATCTCGCTGAGCGTCAGGCGCTTGGCGGGCGAGCTCTGGATGGCCATGACGATGAGCGCGATGTACGAGTAGGGCGGCTTCTCGGGGCGCCGCACGCCCGCGCTCGCCTTCTTGGCCTTGGGCGGCCCGGCGGCCGCGGGCTCCATGGCCGCGCCCGCCCCGCCCGCGCCCGCGCCCGCGCCCGCGCCCGCCCCGCGCGGCGGCTGCTGCTTCTCGGGCGCCGCGGACATCGGGGTGCTGCCTGCGCCGCGGCCGCCGCTGCTCTGCGCCGCGCCGCGCCGGGAGGAGCAGCAGGAGGAGGGGGCGGGGGCGGGGGGGCGCGGGCCCCGGCTCTGCCGTCACCCGCCGCGGGGCGCGCGCCCCGCCCGCCCGCGCGTCCTCCCCGGCGCCGCACCCGCGGGCGCGGGGCTCGCGCGCCCCCGCCCCGCCCCGCCCCGCCCCCCGGGAGGGCGCCGGCCGGGCAGCCCCTCGCCGCCGGGCTGGGGGCGGCGCCGCCCCCGGCCCCGCGGGCACGGCCCGCGCCCCCGCCCCGCGCGGCCCCGGCCCGCGGCTCCCGCGGCTCCCGCGCGCGCCCCCGGCCGGCGAGGACCCCCGGCGGCGCCCGCCCCCCGGCCCGGCCGGCCCGGCCCCGCCCCCGCCCGGCGCCCCGCCCCCCGCGCCCGCCCCGCCCCGCCCCGCCCCGCGCCCGGCGGGAGACGCACCCCGGTCCCGGCCTTCCCCGAGCGCGCGGCCCGCGGGCGAGTCGCCCCCGCGGCGGCGGCGGCCGCCGGGCCCCGGCCATCGCGGCGGGCGGAGGCTCCCGCGAGGCCCCCCCGCCCCCCGCCCCCCGCCCCGGGCCGGAGCCGCGCCCGGGCTCCTCGGACGCGCCCGGCCCAGCCGCGCGCGAGCGGACGGGCAGCGCCGCCGCCGGGGCCGGGAAAGCGAAAGCGCCGGCGCCGCCGGCCCCGCGACGGCCGCCCTCGGGCCGTGCGCTCGCGCCGCGCCGACCTGCGCCGCGCACCCCGCGCACCCCGCGCACCCCGCCGCGCGCGCGCCGGAGCCCGCAGGCGGCCCGGCCGCGCCCGGACACGCGCGCCCCACGCGCGCCCCACGCGCGCCCGCGCCCCGGGCAGGTCCCATCCCGGCGCGGCGCGGCCCGCGGGAAGTGCACACGCGCAGCGTCGACGCGGCCGGGGCCGGGGCGGCGGTGGCCGCAGCGGAGTCCGCGCCCGGGCGCTGGCCTCGTGCCCTGCGGGCTCGGCCTGCCGCCTCCGCGGGGCCGCCGCCGCCCGCCGGTTCCGGACGGCAGCCCCGGGCGGCCGCGGGCCGGGGCAGCCCCGCGCGCCCGCCCCGCCCCGCCCCGCCCCGCCCCGCCCCGCCCCGCGGCGCCAGCGCGGCCGGACGGGCCGCGGCGCAGGACGGCGAGGACCGGGCGCCCCGGCGCGCAGGCACCAGGTGAGCGCGGCGCGAGCGCGGCTGCGGGCGCCGGCCGGGCCTGCTCCGCCGGGGGCTGCGCCGGGCGAAGGGGCCGAGGGGGCTTCCGAGGGGCTTCGCGGCGACCCGGGCGCGCGGCGGAGAGGCTGGAGCCGCCCGAGCGCGTCCCGCGGCGCCTTTCAAAGCCGCCGACCTCGCCCGCTTCCCCGGCCCCGCCGGCCCCCGCGACGCCTGCAGCCTCCCTGGGAGGCGCCTTGTCGCCTTTGGGGCGCCTGGCACGTCCGTGCGAGGAGCGGGCGGCGCCCCCAGCGGTCTGCGAGCGGCTGCCCCCTGCCCGCGACTCTGCCCGCGAGGCCCGCGGCCGGGGCGCGGGGGTGCGCGGGGGGCCGCGGGGGTGCGCGTGCCCGCGGGGGCGCGCCGGCCACTGACCCCCAGACCCCCGGGCCCCCGCCCCGCGCATGGCCCCGGGGAGGGCCTTCCCGCCAGCACCCCCCACGCGGGCGGGCGCCCCAGCCTCGCACGAGCGCCTGTGGGCGCGGAGGCCCCGCACTGCGCGTTCAGGCGGGACACGCGCGCGCGCACCCGTCTCTCCTCCCGCGGTTTTGTAATTCATTATTTATCGTTATTATTGCTTTTTGCCAAACGGCAGCTGCGGGTGAGCGAGCCGGGCCGCGGAGGCGTCAGGGGCGCGCGCCCAGGGAGCTCCCGCGAAGGGGTCGCCCCGCCAGCTGCTGAGCACATCTGGCTCCTGGAAGTGAGGCGGCCGGCCGGGGGAGGCTCAAGCCCTGGCGGCGCAGCGTGTGCACCCTTGAGGCTACCGGATTGGAGAGCAGCACCTCCCTTTTCCAGAGCCTTCCCCCCTGCGGGGAGGGGGTGCCTCCAGACTAGGGCACTCTAGAGCATTAAGGGGGGCAGCTGTTTGCAGCTGGCTGTCCCCAGTGGAGGGGCTGCAGCGTCCACTCCCGGCTAACGCCTGCCAGTGTTGCCACCCAGCCACACCCCGCTATCCCCTGGTTCCCTGGAGCCCTCCTGTACGTTTTGGGGTGCAGGACTTCAGCCTTCCTGAGGGAGGACAAAGTTGGGGGGCTCCACGTAGTTCCTGGGTACCCAGCCGGCAGGCGGCAAACCAAATTTTGCAGGGTAAAGACAACAGTTCTGCTGCCCGGAGCCAGGGGCCTCAGTGGCCCCTCAGGAAGACACGGCGGGTGGGGGGGGAGGCTCCCCCAGTCCCTAATTTCCACCTAGGTCATAAAGGTGGGGGTGAAAGCGCAAGAGGAGGAGGGCGCGTGCCCTGCTCTGTGATTTGGAGGGACCCCCAATCCCGTGGAGAAGCGCAACCAGAGCAAGCAGGTCTCTTCTACATGTCCAGACACCAAACTCCTCGCTCGAAGACGCCCCTGAGCCGCCTGCCCACCCGTGCGGCACCTCTGGGGTGGGGGGAACCCAAGTCCAGCGAGGACCCGGCCCCAGCCAGTGCTGCCAGGCCAGCATCGCTGCACCTTCCCTTTCTCCCCTCCCAGATGCTCCAGATGGGGGGGCGCAGGCTTAGAAGTGCTTTCACCCCCATCCAGAGAGTCGCAGGCTCAAGGGCACCCGGCCCCTGGTGCGCTGACGGTGCTAAACGATACCCAGGACAGGAGCTCGCTGGCTCCAGTGCCGCCGATCAGTCCAGGCCACCACCAGGTACTGACCGCTGTGTAAATAAATACCCTGTTACCCTTTCTCTGGCCTGGGAATCCCTTTGATAAACTGTTGAAAACCACACCCTGCCCTCCCCCAGCACCACCCCCCTCCCCAGAGGCATAACCCTAGCATCTTGGGAAGGATTTCCCGGGTCTCGCCACACCCCTGGAGTCTACCCAGGAACCCGAGACCTCCCTTCCATGAAGCCAGGACTCTGGCTTCTCCACGGACACCCTACAGATCAGTACTATCCCTCTCACTATAGGGGGGCTCAGTAAAGTTACCCCAGGTTCTAGGTCACACCACAGAGCCTGGCTGTAGGAAGGGGTTAAGCCTGCCGGCCAGACCAGGGGTCTGCAGGGTTTCAGGCAGAGACCCCATACCTGCAGGCTCTGCCCCTGTTGGGGTGCGTCCAGCCTCCACCTGTGGGCTGCTGCACCCTTTCTATTTAGTTTCTTGGGGGGGATGTTGGTTGCTTGATCCCCGCCCCCAGCTTTGCTGAGATAAAACTAACACGCAACACGATAAATGTAAGGTGTACAATGTGTTGATCGGACACATTTATATGTTGCAGAAGGTCAGCGCAGGCCACCCCGCCCCCGTTACATTAGTGTGTGCTGAGCACATGGAGACCCGCTCTGGGCAGCAAGCACCTGGCACGGCCATCTGCCCGCGCCGGGCACTGGTTTCTTGGTCTGAAAACGGGACGGGTAGTGGCGCCCCTTAGAGCCGGAGGTGCCTGGCCCAGAGCAGGGAACGGCGCAGAGACAAAGCCCCAGACTTCGGGATGTGGGCGGCGTTTGCCCTTCTGCTAAAAAGGTCCGTAGAGACTCCCCCATCCCAAATCACCCCTGCCCACCAGTGCCGGCCCCAGGAATCTCAACATGGAGGGAGGGGGTGTAAAAACAGACACGCCTGCGACGTCTCCCACTCCGCAAGCCCAAGGTATTTTTACTGGCTAATTGCTTAAGTGAAGCCGCCCGGGCCGAGAGCGCGCCGTAACCGGAGCAGGGAACCAGATCCCGCTCGGATTGTGCCCGGCCGGCGGGCGGGGAGGGGGCGGCCGGCGACCACCCACCGTGAGGGCAGCGCCGTCCCTGCTCTGCGTTAGCGCCAGGCCCGCGCCGCCCTCGCCCCCACTCCCTCGAACCCCTTGGAGGCGCTAGCCAAAGGCAGAAAAGGTAGGGGGCTGGCCCCGGACCCCAGGTGGGTGTGGGGCAGCAAGGGCCGCCTCCTGGCCTGGCTGCCTCCATTGGGAGGCTGAGGGGCGGGTGTGGGGAGGAAATTTGTGGGTGAAAATTTTTGGCCCCCGGGACAGGGGAAGAAACGCCAGGGTCAGGAGAGGCACGCCCCCGCTGGGTGGTACCCACGTGAGCTACACGAGTGCGGGATGCGTTGAGGTCTTTCTCTGCAAACCCGAGGTGCCCAGGCACACGCGCATTTGCACTCCGTGGGGGGAGCGGGCTCCCGCTAGCTGGGCAGCGGGAGGGAAACCCCTGGCTGGAAGGAGGGCCACTGGCCTGCCTGTGGGCTCCACAGCATCCAGAGGGTGTGCAGTGTGCAGGCTGTGTGCACAGAGCAATCTGGGGGTGCCAATAACACGAGCTTTGGATGCAGGACACTGCAGGCGAGGCCGGTACAGGGCTTCTCCGTGGGCTGGTTTCAGAGGCGTGGGGGTCACGGTCTGGCGTGCGGTGTCCAGGGCGCCAGGCCTGTGCACTCAGCATCGGGGCATAGCTGGCGGTGCGCGCCACACAGGCTGGGCATGACACGAGGAATCTGGATACAGACTGTTACAGACTGCAGATCACACGATGTGGTACCAGAGACTGTTACGGGGGGACACGAGATATCGGGTCTGCACCCCAAACGTCAGAAATGCAAACCACCCGGCTCCCGTGCACACAGGACATCACAGTGGCATGATGCAGCCTGTTGCCAGGAAAGGGTCTCTGGGCACCTAGGGCCACCCCAACTCTGCAAGGCGCGTGCAGCAGACCAGGCTGTGTGAAAGGAGGCTGTCGGGAGCCCGAGGGCGAGACAGAGCATGTGGCGTGGGCCCTGGTCATGATGCGTGGGGGCCTGACTGTCCTGGCCAGGCACCTCAAGGTCACGCTCACTCGGGAGCCCCCGCTGCGACCCCAGAAAACAGGTTCTGCTTGGAG